TGACTTCCATTCACTCCTCTGAGATCTAGATTCTCCCCTTTATAAGCAAATGTTTTCTATATGTCTGGCTTTCTAGTTGTCCATGGGAAGCTTGGTCTGATTTATTTGGTTGGTCTCCCATTACTGGGATGTCTTATTTACATTTTGACAGGTTATTATTATTATTATTATTATTATTATTATTATTATTGTAAACATAAGGGAGCAAGGCAGATGCAGGTTCCAGGTGAGAGATGCTGGTGGCTTGGACCAGGTGGTGGTGGTAGAGGCAATGAGAAAGGACCAGAATCTGGGTATATTTTGAAAGTATAACTAGCTGGCAGGGTTTTGCTAGTGGATTGGATATGGGGGTGAAAGAAAGTGACTAACCAAGGATGACTCCAAGGTTTATGGCCTGGGAAAAGGAGAAAATGGTTGTGTCCTTTTCTAAGACAGTGAAGACTAGGAGAGAAGCCATTTAGAGGACTGTTGGGGGGTACTTAAAAAGTTCAGTTTAGGCCATGTTAAGAGTGGAATGCCTCCTAGACACCCGGGGAGGTATCTTGCACATATATGGAGATAAAGTGTCTGGAATTTAGGGGAGGGGACTGGGCTAGAGATAAAATTTGGGGATCATCAGCATAGAGGTTGCATTTTAAGCCCCAAGCTGTATAAGCCCACCCAGGAAAGGATACAAATGCCCGAGGACCAACACTGAGCCCAAGACCTCTAAAATCATGATGTCAGGGTGCTGGGAAGAAAACCAGAGCACAGTGGGTGGGGCACAGCTCCTGGAAGCCTAAGGCAGAACACACTCCAAGGGGAAGGCGCAATAGTTCAGGAGAGATGAGGTCTTTGTCTGCGATGGAAATTTAAAAAATTTTTTCTTAGTTTAATTTTGACTTAATGGAGTTTTATTCTTTTTTTTTTTTTAATTGTGTTTCTCTATGCCTGAGTATAACAGTCTTAGTTATTTCATGTTTCTGGCTTTGTGCTCCTTTTCCCATTCCAAGATTACATGGGTCCATGTGGTACCCGTGTGTGCCCATGTGTTGGCACAGAGCAGGGATATGTGGCTCAGGGAAGGGTGTGAATCTGGGAGAGAGTGGCCGAGCCCGAGCTGAGGGAGGTGCTGGGGTCAGAGGTCCCACAGGGTGGAGGAAGAGGACCTAGGTCCATTTCCTCTCTGTGCCTTGGTTTCCCAATCTGTATCTGGGGTTTAAATGCTGGCTTCCCAGAGGTGCTGGGGAGGATTCCTGGGTGTGAAAAAGAGGCAGCCCCTGGTGAGCAGTGCAGGGCTGTGTCCCAGGGACAGGCTCATTTCCTCGACACAGGCCTGTCCATCTGCATCTCGAAGCTGAAGGGTCTACCTGCTTGCTGAGGCCAGAGAGCTTTCCCACAGACACTGGGACTCTGGGATGGGTTGTGGGACCCATCAGTCCAAGCCCCAAGACCTGATGGCAAGAAAGAACCCTGGGGTCACTTGAAAAAGTCCAGTCTTTTTTTTTTAATTGTATGACATTTATTTTCCTTGCTTTATTTCAGAAAAATAAAATTATTTATCACATAATTTGTGTTCTTCTGACAGTGTTTTCAGGTTGGACAACCTTTAGTAATTTTGATGCTTATATCATTATTTTTTTATTTTTAAATTAAATCTTATTGATTTTGCTATTATAGTTGCCCCAGTTTTTACCCCTTTGCCCTCATCTGCTGAGTACTCCCCACTTCCTCAGGCAATCCCCATACCTTCGTGCAGATCCATGGGTCATGCATATAAGTTCTTTGGCTTTTCCACTTGCTATACTGTTTTGTTTTGTTTTAGATTTTATTTATTTTTAGAGAGGGAAAGGGAGGGAGAAAGAGAGGAAGAGAAATTGCAATGTGTGGTTGCATTTCACACACACCCCTGCTGGGGACCTGGCCTACAACTCAGGCATGTGCCCTACACTGGGAATTGAACTGGTGACGCTTTGGTTTGCAGGCCCGTGCTCAATCCATTAAGCCACACCAGCCAGGGCCCTATAATGTTAAACTGTACTTTACAGCCCCATGACTATTCTGTAACTACCAATTTGTGCTTCTTAATCCCTTCACTTATTCCCCCAAATCCCCCCTCCCATGTGGCTGCCATCTAAATGTTTTCCGTATCTATGATTTTGCTCTTGTTTTGCTTGTTCACTTAGTTTGTGGGGGTTTTTTAGCTTCAATTGTTGATAGATATGTATTTTTTTGCCATTTTATTGTTCATAGTGTTGGTCCTCTTTTTCTTAAATAAGTCCCTTTAACATTTCGTACAATAATGGTTTGATGATGATGAACTCCTTTAGCTTTTTCTTGTCTTAGAGGCTCTTTATCTGCCTTTCAATTGTGGAATAGAGTAATCTTTGTTGTAGGTCTCTGCTTTTCATCACTTTGAATATTCCTTGCCAATCTCTTCTAGCTGCAAAGTTTCTTTTGAGAAATCAGCTGACAGCCTTATGGGAACTCCCTTGTGGGTAACTAACTTCTTTTCCCTATCTGCTTTTAAGATTCTCTCTTTATCTTTAACCTTTGGCATTTTGATTATGATGTGTCTTGCTGTGGGCCTCTTTGTGTCCATCTTATTTGAGACTCTCTGTGCTTCCTAATATATATGACTTGCATGTATATTTCTTTCACCAAACTAGGGAAATTTTCTTTCATTATTTTTTCAAATTGATTTCCAATTTCTTGCTCTTTCTCTTCTCCTTCTGGCACCCCTGTGATGTGAATCTTGGTGTGCTTGAAATTGTCCCTAAGGCTCCTTATACCATCCTCATTTTTTGGTTTCTTTTTTCTTCTGGCTGTTCTGGTTGGTCGTTTTTTGCTACCTTATGGTCCAAATCATTGATATGATTATCAGCTTCATCCACTCGACTGTCAATTCCCTGTAAATTGTTCCTTATTTCAATTAGTATATCCTTTTTTTCTGGCTGAATCTTTTTTATGCTGTGGAGGCCCTCCCTAAGCTCCGCAAGTATCCTTATAACCAGTGTTTTGAACTCTGCATCTGAAAGATTGCTTAACTCCATTTTGTTTAGTTCTTTTTCTGGAATTTTTTTCCTGTTCTTTCATTTCGGCCATATTTCTTTGTCTCCTCATTTTGGCCGCCACCCTGTGTTTGTTTCTATGTATTAGGCAGAGCTGTTATGACCCCCTGTAATCATAGTATGGCCTAATGTAGTAGGTGTCCTGTAGGGTCCAGTGGCACAGCCTCCCATATCACCCAGGCTGGGTCCTCTGTGTGGGTTGAGTACACCCTCCTCTTGTAGTTGAGCCTTGATTGCTGTTGGCAGGTCGATGGAAGGGATTTACCTAGGCTCGTCAGCGGCAAGGACTAGCTGTGACCATTGACCTCTGGCCTCCATGGAGGATCAGCTGTGCAGGGGCCCACTCTACAGAGCAGGGCTCACTTTAACAGGGCTCTGGTACCCCCTTGTGTTCTATCTGGGGCCACTTGGCATAAGTAATAAAGCTATCAGCAGCTGGCTGCGTCTTGTGATGGGCTTGGAGGTGCCCTAGTGAGGTCAGGCTAGGGACCAAGGCCAGCTGCTGCTAGTGGAAGCATGTGCCAAGACAAGTCATTTCTATGGAAAAGCCATTGTTAACACTTGGGTAGGCCCCTAAGTTGGGTGGGGCAGATTATCAATCAGGGAATCACCAGGGCAGGGCAAACAGCCTCAGGTATGGTGCCTGCCATGCCATGAGCTCTGTGGCGGAAGGGCTCAGAGGAGGAGTAATGGACTCTGCCAGCAGTTCTGTCCTGGAGAAAGCTTTTCCCCAGCTCTCACCCTGATACCAGGCACCTCAGTTCCTCTTCATATGCCACTGGTGCCTTTCAAGTTGCTGCCCCAGTGCTGGAACTCAGTAAGAGTGAGTCTGAGTTTAAGTCTGTGTATTGGCCCTTTAAGAGTAACTGCTTGGGACTCTAGAAGTTTCTTCCACTGACTCAATCTCCACTGGTTTTTACAGTCAGAAGTCACGGGGACTTATCTTCCTGGGACTGGAACCCTGGATGGGGGGCCTGGTGTGCAACTGGGACCCCTTGCTCCTCATATATTCCTCCAGATTTTTATGGGCCATATGTGGGTATGGGACTGGCCCATTCCACATCTCCTACCAGTCTGGATAGACATGGATTCTTCTTTAATTCTGTGGTTGCAGGATCTCTATTCAACTTGATTTCTACCGGTTCAGTGATGGTTGTTCTATAGCTTCATTGTAATTTTGATGTGGTTGTGTGAGGAGGTGAGCCGTGTTTCCTAGGTCGCCATCTTGGAGTTCTAGCTCTTCTATCATTCTTTATTAATTTCAGTTTGGAGAAATGTCACTCTATAGCAGTAGCAACCAAGCTTCCATAGCTGCTGCCCGGGGTTTGAATCTTAGCACCACAAGAGCACAGCAAGGACGATGGGCCAGGTACAGAGGTCAGCAGGGCAGAAAGCCCCGGGTGCCTAGCAACAGGCAAAACTGGGAAAACAAGGACCTTGCCCCCAGGGTAACCTTTCCTCCAGTAGCAAATCCACGGGCAGTTCAGACCTTCCGCTTCATACCTACAAGACACCCAGGAAAAGGGAGTTACTCCAAAAAAGTCCAGTCTTAAAGGGGCTGGATCTCATGTGTCCCAAGTGAGATGGGTAACAATGGCTGCCCAGGCTGGGCTCCTGGGACTTCTGGGAGGGACGGAGGGGCAGGCCCATGCCTGGTTCTGCCTGTTACAAATGAGCCAGTGCTGCTGGAAGGACCTAGGGACAAATTGCAACAGAAAAACTACGTATTGAAAAGCACCATATATATGACAAGGCTCTGTGCACAGAGCATCACAATTGGCAATCTGTAGAGTCCTATGGATCTGTGAGTGGCTGGACTTGACGGGACAGCCTGGTCTGGTCTCTGACTATTTGGTGGCAACAGATGGGCCACCTGCCTGTCACCATTCCCCAGTGATTGCCAGCTGAGCAAGCCCAGGCCCCTCCCTCACTCTCTGCCATGCCTTCTAGAGCCATCCTCCAGCAGCAGGGCTCACCGGTGGATGCCGCCATCGCGGCTCTCATCTGCACCAGCGTTGTCAACCCCCAGAGCATGGGCCTGGGGGGAGGGGTCATCTTCACCATCTACAATGCGACCACAGGTGTGTCTATATGGGACGCCCAAGGGGAGGGTGGGCTTGTCCACTAGCACGAGTATCTGGCCGAGCCTGTTCCATCTGCCCATGCCCCTTCCTGGGTCTCCTTGGTGCCCCTGCTATCTCCCCACCCCCGTCTCACCTTCATGCATGCCCTATCCTGAAGCGAGGCCAATTCATGATACTGAGAGGGAAACAGGCTCAGAGCAGGGCCAGGGACATCTGAGGAGGACCATGGTGTGGGCTGGGGCTGGGCAGCCACCGGGGTGCCCTGGACCACTTTCACTCCCTGCCCCAACTCCAGGGAAGGTGGAGGTCATTAATGCCAGGGAGACGGTGCCCGCCAGCCATGTCCAGGGTCTGCTGGACCAGTGTGAACACGTCCAATCACTGGGCACAGGTGAGGCCCTGGGAGGGGCCACTGGGGTTGACCAGAACACCTCCTGAGGGGGCGGCATGCCTCATGGACAGGCTGAGACACCTTGGCACTGAGGGACAGCAGCTGGGGGATGGGGGGGCCCCACGGAGGTCCTGACCTGCTGGGGTTTGGGAAGTATCCTGGGGGGAATAGCTCTCTGAGTGGGGAGGCGTGGCCTAAACAGAGGGACCGGCCAGGCGAAGGCTGGAGGGCTCAGAGGAGATGGGTTGTGGGAATGGGGGAGTCCTGGGACCAGCTTGTGCTGTGGCCTTTGTACAGAGGGCAGCGGACAGCCAGGGGGTTTCAGTCGGGAGGGGCACAGTCAAGCGTAGGCTCCAGGAAGCTCACTCCGGCTGCCACGCTGGGGAGCAAGGCTGGCGGGGCCCAGTGCTGGGTGATGGAGAACCCAGGGGCAGGCGCGGAAGTCTTGGGGCTGAGGGCCAAGGGGCGGGGAGCATGGGAGCGGGGGCTTGATGCTGCCACGCCCTGCAGGGACCCAGTGGATAGGCGTGCCCGGGGAGCTCCGGGGCTACGCCGAGGCCCACCGCCGCCATGGCCGCCTGCCCTGGGCGCAGCTGTTCCAGCCCACTATTGAGCTGCTCCGCGGGGACTACCGCACACCCCCCATCCTCAGTCTGTTCCTGAACAACAGCTTCCTTCGCCTCTCCTTGCTTGCCTCCTCCCTGAGGTGAGCGGCTGCCCAGGTGGGGGTTGGGTACAGGAGCCCCTTCTCAGCTCCGGGTTCAGGCCACAGTCTGTCTTAGCCTGGCTCCCCTCCCAGCTCTACCTGAGTCCCCCAGAAGACTGACCCGGCCAGTACTTTGCTGTCTCAGTTCACACCTCCGGGCTCCAAGTGGCAAAACCTAATGGGAGGGGCTCAGGCTGGAGGGAGCGTCTGCCTTCGTGAGGGACTCTGGGGGCATGGACCTGGGCTCTGCCCTCCTTCTTACTCCCTCGGGGCTGGCAGGACAGCTTTGGCCACCCCCTTGCCCACTTGCCAGCCCGCTGACCAGGTCCTCCCTGGAGTGTGGGGAGGGCAGGCCCCCAGTGGACACAGGCCTAACGGGGTAGTATGCGTCCTCCCAGGCAGGGTGATGAGTGAGTTGAGAGGTGTCAGCCCCACCCAGTCCTAGGGAATCTGTCCCCTCGATGTCTGCCCCAACCCCTCAGGACCCCGGACCTGGACGGCTTCTGTGTAGGGCCCCAGGGACCCCAAGAGCCCTTGCAGGCTGCCCTCCAGGACCCGGGCCCGCACTGACCCTGCCCTCCCGTCCCCCAGGCCGCTCTTCTTCAATGGGACGGAACCCCTGCGGCCTCAGGACCCATTCTCCTGGCCTGCGTTGGCTAACACCCTGGAGACTGTGGCCAGGGAAGGCGCAGAGGTCTTCTACACGGGGAGGCTGGGCCAGACACTGGTGGAGGACATTGCCAAGGAAGGTGAGCCACACTGAGGTCCCAAAGCCCCCTCCCCTGCCAGAGGCATGCCAAGTTCTGGACAGGGGCTCCTGAGGGCAGGTTTTTCCCCAGGCCTTGAGGAAATGCCAGCTGCTCCCAGGGCTTGGAGGGGCTGCTGACCACCAGCCTCAGTGACCCTGCCGTTATGGCCCTCAAGGAGCAGAGTCCCCATGATTTAGGACCAACAGAAGAGAGTTACTCGTGGCCATGGGGGGCCCCTGGGACTGGAGCTGGCCCACCTCACAGACTCCCCAAGGCCAGCTCTCCTCTCCCACCTTCCCCTCCTTCCCCCAGCCCGCCTGCTTCTGGCCCCTGCCCACCTGTCCCCGACGCCACTGCTCGCAGAACCACCCTCACCTCCCTGGGTCTAGAGTGTTAGGGGACAAGGGGAGCCCCACTGTGTGACCAGGGACCCGTGGCTGTCACTCTCCACCTGCTTCCTCACCTGTACACGGAGGTTCCTCTGTCTCACCCCAGGCAGCCAGCTGACCATGCAGGACCTGGCATCATTCCAGCCTGAGGTGGTGGACGCCCTGGCGATACCTCTGGGGAGCTACACCCTGTACTCGCCGCCACCGCCTGCTGGGGGTGCGCTTCTCAGCTGCATCCTCAACGTGCTCAAAGGTGAGGCCCCAGCCCTCCTGCCGAGTCCTGCCCTGCTGGGCGCCTGAACCCCAGGCCCAGCCGTGCTCTTGGGCAGCCATTGCCTTTTCCAGCTCAGCCCGCTCATCAGATGCCGAAGACAGGGCTGTGGAAAATGGGCCAGGACGGTGTGCTCTAGAGCCGGTCTAGGGCCTCTGCTGAAGGGTCTCCCGTCATCCACCCACTGGGAGTCCTTCCTGCCAGGTGACTGGTCCCAGGGTCCAGGAGCAGGTAGGCTCCACAGGTAGTGAGCTGCCCACCTGGCGTGTGCAGCCCGTGGGGCTGGCCTGGCCCGCGGAAGCCTGCAGGGTGGTGAGGGGACTGGGCACTGTCCGGAGCTGGGCTGCCCGAGGCCGAGTGTATTTGTTTCCTGGGGCTGCTGTGACAAATTACCCTAAACCTAGGGGCTTGAAACAACAGAAAACTTATTCTCTCCAAGTCCTGGAGGCCAGAAGTCCAAAATCAAAGGGCCAGCCAAGCCACGCTTCCTCTGGGGGCTCGGCAGGAGAACCCGCTCTTTGCTCTCCCAGCTCCTGGTGCCTGCGGGCATCCCCGGCTGCGGCCGCGACTGTGCCACCCCATCACTGCCTCTGCGGTCAGGTGGCCTCCTCCCCTTCTCTGTGTGTCTGTTTCATAAGGTTACGCATGATTACATTTAGAGCCCACCAGGATTATCCGGGATAATCTGCTCCCCCTAAGATCCTTAATTTAATCATATTTTGCCATATAAGGTAATAGTCACTCTTACCATATGTGGTAGTATTCACCGCTTCTGGGGATTAAGACATGGAGAAATCTTTTTTTGGGGGGGTGGAGGGTGGTCAAACATTCAACCCATTACACAGGGCGATCCCCACCTGAGCCCTCCCCCTCTGCAGGGTTCAACTTCTCTGCGGAGTCAGTGGCCAGTCCTGAGCGGAGCGTGGACTTGTACCACCGCTTCGTGGAAACGGTCAAGTTTGCCAGAGGGCGGGGGTGGCAGCTGTGGGACCCTCGCAGCCACCCGGCGGTCCAGGTGAAGAGGCCTGGGCAGGCCCCGGGCTCAGCATGAAGGGAGGGCTGGGCCTGTGGCCACTCGTGCGTGGAGCCCGAGAGCCCGGCCGGGTGGGGTGCGGGGCATGTGTCGGTGGCTGGACCTGGAACAGCCCAGCCCAGGGCAGGGAGGGCGTGGCAGGCCTGGGCTCCGGAAGAGGTTGGCATGAGGGCATAGTGGTGGCACCACGTCCCAGAGGACCTGGGGGGTGAGCAGGGTATAGCCTGGGCTCAAGGGAGAGTGGACTTGACGAGGTCCCCCAAGGGGGCCCTCTGCTCTGTGGGCCCCGTCTGAACTCTCATTTACCTTGTCGACCAACCGCCTGCCCCAGAACACCTCCCAGGAGCTGCTGCAGGAGGATCTGGCCCAGCGCATCCGCCAGCAGATAGACGCCTGGGGTAACCACCAGCTCAGCCACTACGGCCTGGATGGGGCCCGGAGCCACACCATGGGCACCGCCCACGTGTCCGTGCTGGGGGAGGACGGCAGTGCCGTGTCTGCCACCAGCACCATCAACACTCCGTGCGTGTGCCCTGGAGGCAGGCCCCAGTCCTTAGCTCCGGAGACCCGAGTCCCCCTCCCACCCCCACCCCTATCCCTGTCCCCGCCTGGTCTCCCAACCCCCTGGCCTCTTCTTGGTTGTCCCCATGGGGCAACGCCTTGCTTTTCCTGCTGTTTCTTCCTCTCTGTCAAAAGCTCTTCTACACACCAGATATCCCTGGCTGACAAGGCTGCCGCTGGGTGGCCTTGAGCCAGGACCCACCAAGGGATGGGCTTTACCCAGAAGGGGGCCCTGACTGGGGCACGGGGGTGCGTCTCTGGGGTGGGGCCAGGAGGAAACAGCAGCTCCGGCTTGCTGGAGGGCAGCCACTAAAACGAGGGGCTCCTGGGAGGCTGGGGAGCGGGCCTCTATACCAGGTGTGGGGAGCCTGCAGCCTGAGCCCAGGCTCCGCGTCCCCATCTGCAGCTTCGGAGCCATGGTGTACTCACCGCGCACAGGCATCCTCCTCAACAACGAACTCCTGGACCTCTGCTGGAGGCGCCAGCCTGGCTCCCGTGTGGCCCCACCGCCTGGTGAGTGCGGGGGCCCCGCTGGGGAGAGGGAGGGCGGGCACGGTGCCTGCTGCAGGGTGGCTCCCGGAGCTGCCGCCCCAACTGCCCGGCCAGTGGCCAGCGTGTGAGGTGGCGATGGAGACAGGGACGGAGGGCGGTCCTGGAGGACTCTGGCTCAGGAGCCAGGCTGCCAGTGACACCTGTCGGGCCTCCAGTTCCAGGGGAGCGGCCCCCATCATCCATGGTCCCTTCCATCCTGGTCAACACAGCGCAGGGGTCAAAGCTGGTGATTGGTGGGGCTGGTGGGGAGCTCATCATCTCTGCTGTGGCCCAGGTGAGTGTGGGGGCTCCTGGCTGGAAGGTCCCCTCCCTGGGTGACCCTGTTGTTCTGCTCTCCTTGGGAAAGGGAGGGGGAGGTGAGGGTGGCCAGGGCCCCTCCCTCTCGTGGCCTCCTTCTCTCCCCCAGGCCATCATGAACAACCTGTGGCTCGGTTTGGACCTGGGTGCAGCCGTGGCAGCCCCCATCTTGCATGTGAATAACAAGGGTCAGGTGGAGTACGAGCCCAGTTTCAGCCAGGTGAGCCGGGGTCCGCGCCGCCTCTGGGCGGGACACCTCAGTGCCTGCGGCTCAAAGCCCTGAGTGGGGCTCAGCCACGCATCCGCCTTGGGCACCACAGGGAGCTGGCAGCTCGGCGGGGGAGGCACGAGGCCAGGCTTGTGGCCTCCGAGGCAGAGAGCAACGTGCTTCTGCCGGGCCGAGCACCCCAGCTCCTCGGCTCCTCGGCTCTCGCAGCGCCTGTGCATGTCTCTCCAGAAGCTAGTTCTCCTGGCCGTGGGCTCTCAGGCTGTCCCTCATGATGCTATGTTTCCTCACGTGATTTGCAGCTTTTATGTGCAAGTTTATTTGTAAGGGAATTTATTCCCATGAGAGTCTGCAGAGACATTGAGGCATTGGGGCTGCACTGGCGCTGGTTGTTACCTCTTCCCGGGTCCCCTCCCCAAGTAGGTCTGGGAACTGAAGTCCACCCCCCTCCCCCCAGCTCACCCCCCCCTCCCCCCCCGCCGTGGAAGCTTCCTTGAAGCTTCTCTGGTGCTGGCAGATGCCCTTTGCTAGGACCTAATTCAAAACACTGGCAGCTTTTCAAGGCTCTAAACTTCATGCCCAGGGGCAGTTCAACCAGGCAGGGTTCAAGGTCCTCAAAGCTGCCCTGGCTGGAGTGGCTCAGTGGGTTGAGTGCTGGCCTGCAAACCAAAGGGTCACTGATTCGATTCCCAGTCAGGGCATGTGCCTGTGTTGCGGGCCAGCTCCCCAGCAGGGGGTACGTGAGAGGCAACCACACATTGATGTTTCTCTCCCTCTCTTTCTCCTTCCCTTCCCCTCTCTCTAAAAATAAATAAAACATTTTAAAAAAAGAAATCCTCAGCGCTTCCTTTCCTGTGAGGAGCCTCTCATGGCCTTAGAACTCTCTAATAACCACAGAGTGAGAGGCTTGGAGCCCACGCGGCTGTGTCATCCCCGAGAAGCTTGGCCCATGGGCCCTCCTGAAGGCCCTCATCCCATCAGGATCCAACGCTCGGACCCGAGGCCTCCCATGGCCCCGTTGAGGGTTCTCCCCATGGAAGTGCATCACATGCGCCTTCAGGGCTCATCCTCTTAGGCTCTTCTCCTTGGCCTTGTCCTAACTCTGTGAACACAACTCTCTGAGGACCTTCCATGGAGAAATTCCTGGACCCTGGGTGGTGACCGTGAGTCTCCAAGGGCCTCCATGCAAAGTCCCAGGGACAGAGGTTCAGAGAGTCCTTGTTCACCAGGCCTTGGAGGTTGGCCAGTAGACTGTAAGGAACAGAGTCTCCAAGGACTGCAGACCCGGCTGGTGACCTCAGATTCAGGACGGAAATGAGTGTGCATTTCCAGCTCCTTCAGATTCAGGACGGAAATGAGTGTGCATTTCCAGCTCCTTCAGAGCTGGGTGGTTCTTCCCCACCATGCTCCTCCTTCAGGGCCTTTTTTTTTTTTTTTTTTTTTTTTTAAAGATTACATTTGTTTACTCTTAGAGAGAGGGGAAGGGAAGGAGAGAAACTGATGTGTGAGAGATACATCGATTGGTTGCCTCTTGCACACCCCAAACTGGGAACCTGGCCCACAACCCAGGCACGTGCCCTGACCGGGAATTGAACCGGTGACCTTTCTGTCTGCAGGCCAGGGCTTAATCCACTGAGCCACAGCAGCCAGGGCTGTTTGAGTGGGAAATGTAGACTCTGTGTCCTCCTATCCTCACCCCCACCCCGCCCAGTCCTGTCTTCTCAGTCGGGGCTCTCGGGTCCCATGCCCCCGTGAAGACAGACCTGCGCTGCCTCACCTGTCGGCCGGCCTTCCTTCCTCTCCAGGAGGTGCAGCAGGGGCTCCAGCGCCGGGGCCACAGCCAGAACAGCAGGCGCTTTTTCCTGAACGTGGTCCAGGCCGTGTCCCAGGACGGGGGCTGTGTGTACGCCGCAGCGGACCCGAGGAAGCGTGGCGAGGCCGCAGGCTACTGAGGAGGCTGCTCCCGAGAGCTGGGATCTGGCTCAGCGGCCGTGCGGGGCCCAGGCCGGCCGTGGCTGTGACTGTGAGACCGAGCGTCCCGCCAGGACCGGGACCCCTCTCGGCTCGGGAGCCAGCCTGCGGTTGCAAGAGGTGGGGACATGGCAGATGGGGGCTGAGCCCTCCCTCAGAGCTTCTGGTGGCCCTGCCCCAGCCCCTCTGTCCTTCCCCAAGCCTCTCACCCAGGACGCGGTCCATCCTCCCTCTCTGACCCCACTCCCCATCTGTATACTCTCCAGTTCAAGATTAAAGAGGAGGCTGCCCACAGCCTCATTCAGGGTTGAGGTGAGAGAGGGGACCCTCAGAAAGCATCACACCGGTTCCTACAGTTTTTTACAATAACCCATAATAGAAGTGGGGAAACCGAGGCCCAGAGGCAGCTGGGCCCATCCAGGTCACCCTTGGACAGAAGCAGCACCCCTGCCACTTGCTGGGGTTCTGAAACGTGACTGCCTGGGGCCACTTATTGGGGAAAAGGCAAGGCGTGGCCCGGGAGCCCTCGGCCAAGACCTGTCTCTGAATCTTGTCTTCGGTGCCAGGAAAACGTTGGATGCAGTAAGACCTAAGGCCCCAGCCCCTCCCCCAGCGCCGACAGCCTGTGTTCTCACCCATGGCACTGCTGACATTTTGGGTGACACATTCTTTCTTGTAGGGGATGTTCCCACATCGTAGGATGTGGGGCAGCATCCCTGGCCTCTACCCACTAGATAAAGCAGCAGCCTCCCACCCCCAACCAGCAGTCGCCAATGGCCCCTGACTGAGAACCACTGCTCGGACTGATGAGCCCCCAGGCACCGTGAATGGCTTTGCCAGCCGCCCCGTGGGCCACCCTCACTGAGGCAGAGGGTGGGGGAGGCTCACTGCACTGACCGGAGCCCCGCACTAGTTCCCGAGAGCATGGGGCTTCCATTTTCACCCCAAACATCCCTTGGGGGCATGCCTCCACCTGGCAGGCCCTAGGAGCAGCGTCACCTCTGAGTCACCACTTTCCACTCTGTGCTGGCACTGAGCCAGGCAGGATGGGGCCAGGTACGAGCTCTCTGTGTCTGCAGAGGCCCCGGCCCACCAGCGGAGCACCTCCGAACCGCAGGAATCTGTCTTCTCCCAGGCTGGGCGTCTGCAGTCAGTCTCACTGGGCTGAAGTCAAGCTGCGGGCAGGGCCATGTGCCCCCACAGCTCGGGCGGAGAATCCCTCCTACCTCTTCCAGCTTCTCGGGGCTGCCGGTGTCCCAGGGCCTGTGGCCACATCACTCCAATCCCTCCCTTGTGGTCTCGTGGCCTCCTCCTCTTGTGTGTATGGAATCCCCTTCTACTTCAGGCAAATCTAGGTTGGGAAGGCACCCTCGGAAAGTGTAAGGACTCTAAAGGACATACAGGGCCCACACAGAGAGGTCAGGATAATATCCCATCTCAACAGCCTTAATCCCAAAGTCACTTTGCCATATAAGGTAACTTCCCCAGGCTCCAAGGGAGCAAGACGCGGACATACTTGTGGACTGTTACTTAGCTGACCACACAGGAGGAGAGTGGTCTGAATCCCTGGTCTGGGCTTGGCTCGGGGGATGGAGGGGGTATTCTGGCAGCCTCAGGAGAAAGGCTGGGGACCGCAGGCACACTCGGGGAGGCACTCAGGCAGCCTCGAGGCCACTAGCCCCTACCCGGGCCTGGCTTCAGGAGGCCGCGGGGGGAGCAGGCTTTCTGGAAGGGCAGGTCTGGTCTGGGGGGCAGCAGATGCAGAAGAGGAGGGCTTAGAACCAGAGCAGAGGGGCTTCAGACCTGGGGGCATCAGGACGTGCCCCAGGGCGGCCACACCCCGGGCAGCGCCCCCCCTCTGCCCCCTGCCTGGCTGCCATCTCAACGGCTCCAGAAGATCCACGGAACTTCACGGTCAGCAAGGGCGAAAATGCCCCCACCCTGCTCCCGGCCCCTTTCCAGTTAATAGACATTCCAGGCCCCCACAGAATATAGCTAAAGCAGGGCTCAGAGGCAAATGTATTACCTTCAATAGTTGCATTCACAGTACGAATCAAAATAAATAAAGCGACTAACTTAAGAAGTTAGTAAAGGAGAAATCAGAACAAGCAGGAAAGCAAAAGGAAGGACTCAGCAAAAACTGAAACAGAAAGTGATAAATCTGAAATCAGAAATAATGGGTTTTTGAAAAAAATATATAACAAGCTATTAGCTAGCCAATCAGTAAAAATGAAGGAAGTGTGAATATACAAAAGCAGAAATGAAAATGGGAAAATAACCTAAAATATAGAGAAAGTAAAAATGATTATAAAATATTGCTAACCTTTGTTCAAATAAATTTGGAAACGTTGACAAAATAAATTACTTTTTAGGACAGTGTAAGTGTAATTGCAGCACTTGGGGCATACTTACATGAAAAGCATTGTTTTTATGAAATTAATTGGGCATCCTATATTTCTATTTGCTGAATCTGGCAACCTTAAATATAAATGACAATTGGATCCAAGAAGGGGCAAAGATCTAGACACACCAATGATCATTTAAAAAATTGAGAGCATTGGTCTGGCTGGGTAGCTCAGTTGGCTGGAACATTGTCCCATGTACCAAAAGTTTGCAGATTTGCTCCTGGTTGGGACACATACCTACACTGCGGGTTCGATCCCCTGTCGGGGCGTGTATGGGAGACAGCCAATCAATGCCTCTCCCGCTGATGTCTCTCTCCCTCCCTCCTTCTGCCCTTCGCTCTTTAGGTCAATAAACATATCCTCGGGTGAGGATTTTAGAAAAAATTTTTAGAGCACTGTGGAGACACCAGCCTACCTGCAACACACTTCTAGAAAGTTCCACAGGGGATGCTTCTCTGGCCATTAGGACCAGAACCCTCTCCTGTCAGTTAAGTTCCCACTGTTGAGGGCAAGAAAGAAAATGCCCAGGTTCTGGCATTTTCCGGCATTTTATGAGGCCAGAACAGCACGGACCCCAGGCCTGGCAGAGCAAATCACAGACCACTTGTGTTTGTGAAACACTACAAAAACTCCCCAATAAACTGTTGACAAGGAGAACCTGGCAAGATGGTAAAATGAACATAAGTCGTCTACCGCAGGAGGGAGGACACCAGCACCGCAAGGGAGGAGGAGAAAGGTCAGAGGGTGGTCTCCGTGGGGACTGAGGAGGCATTTGACAAAATTCAACACCCATTCTTGATTAAAAAACAAACCAACAAAAAGCCCAGCCCAAACAAACAAACAAAAAGCCCACAATGCTATTCACCTAAATGTGTTAACCTAAAAATAAAAAAGCCAAGGTGAGAGGCAACAAGACATCCAAAATAGAACCGCAGTTCTGGGGAGCACTGATCCAGGCAGAAGCCCAAACAGTGTTCCAATTAAGAGGTGAAGGCAACGGGGTATTCATGAGAAAGGGACAGGAAATAATATAATGTTTGCTTTCCTGTTATCACTGCAAACAGTTGTTTGGGATACCAAGCCCAGTACAAAGGCTATTTTGTCCAGCTTTAACCTCCGGACTTTGAGGATGAGGCATGCAAGCAGTTCCTCTGGGAAGGTAACTCTGACTCCACTTTGAAGCAGCTCTGTTTATATGATTTTTTACGCAAGGATATATATCTCAGGACAATAATAACAGCATCGTTAGAATGACAATATGGCATTGACTGTAGGCTGGGCACTATTCTATTGCTTTACATGTTTTAACTCAATTCCTATGGTTCTCCCTAACAAAGGGGAGCTATGATTATCCCAATTTTACAGACGATACTGAAGCACTAATGCTTCAAGAGTTAGGCAGAATAAATGCCAAAGGTGGACACTGGACAGACAGCTGGAGAAAATGAATTCTAGCCCCTACTTCACACCATACATATGGAAATTAGCTTGAGATGAATCTTAGGCCTAAATGAAAAAGTTAAAACAATTGCCTGCACAGTTGCTCCAGCATCTTTTATTACAAAGGCCTTCATTCCCTCACTGAATTACATCAGTTCCTTTGTAAGAAAAAAAAAAATCAACCAAATAAATCTATCAGATCTTAGAACAAATTATAAACATACAGTAGTTAAAATAGCATACAAGTATACCTGAGACATAAATCGACCAACAACAACACAAAGTTCACGACGAGATGCAAATAAGTATGGGAATTTAGTCTCTGCTAAAGGAACATATCAAATCAGTAGGAAATGATGAATTGTTTACAACTGATACTGGAACAAGTGGGTAGCCATCTGGGGAAATAATAACCTGAGATCCTTATCTTTTTATTTACATCAAAATAAATTTCAGTTGGAACAAAGATTTTTTCAGAGTTTAAAATAAACCCACATACCTATCATATGAAAATACGAGAATGTTTTATTCACATTCTTAGAGTGAGGAAGTCTAGGCATTCCTAAAAAGGTTTCCTTCTTAGGCATGACATAAAAGAAAGACGCTATAAAAGAAAAAAATGGATAAATTTGAACACATAAAAATTAAAATTTTTGACATGGAAAATATCTTAGAAAACCAAAGGAAAAAAGTGGGGGGAAATGGTTCCAATAAGTAATATGATATGTGGCTGGCTTCTTAAATATTTAAATACTTAAATATTTAATGTCAAAGACCAAATCTCCATTAGAAAGATGGACAAGGGCATGACTCATTAGACCATGGAGAGCTCAAATGGCTATTTCAACATATAAAATAGTTGCTCAACTTCACTCATAAATGTTGCCAATTAAAACAAAAATGACATCCCACAGGAACAAAGGAAATAACTGTAGGCCCAGAAGGCATGTCAGTGAGTTCTTCCAATTACTTATGGGAGAAAAAAACACCAGTCTTACACAAACTCTTCCACTGAACAGAAAAAACATTGCTCAACTATTTATTTATTTATTTATTTTTAGGGAGACAGGAAGGGAGAGAGAAAGAGGGGGAGAGAAACATGGATCTGTTGCCTCTCATATCCACCCCCTCTGGGAACCAAACTCCCAACTTTCAGGCATACGCCTTGACTTGGGAATCGATGCTCAACCAACTGAGCCACACTGGTCAGGGCGTATTGCCCAAATTTTTCAGTGAGACCAGCAGAATCTTGAGAAGAAAACTCAACAAAGGAATTTCATAAAGGAATAATAGAGGATGATTTTATTCATGTGCAGAGATGCAACACTCCTAAATAAAATATAAGCAAATCAAATGTGATATATAAAAAAGAGAATTCATCGCCATCAATCTGGGTTTATTCTGCAAATACAATACCTATTGAACATTTAAAAATCAAGCAATGTAATTCACCATGTTAACACACTAACAGAATAAAGAAGAAAAATCAACCATCTTAGTAAATGCAGAAAAGCATTTGAATTTTTTTATTTATTGATTTTAGAAGAAGAGAAGAAGGGGGGAGAGAGAGAAAGAGAGAGAGAGAGAGAGAGAGACTGACTGGTTTGTTGTTCCACTTACTGATGCATCCACTGGTTGATTCTTGTATGTGTCCTGACCAGAGACCAAATCTGAAACCTTGGCATATTGGGACCACACTCTAAGCAACTGAGCTACCCAGCCAGGGCCCAGAAAAGCACTTGACAAAATTTCTCAATTTTCACTTCCAGTCAAGATGGCAGTGTAGGCAGACATGGCTCACCTCTTTGCAAAACCACATCAAAATTATGACTAAAATATAGGACAACCATCACTCAGAACTATCAGAAATCGAGCTGAATTGTAGTCTGACAACTATGGGATTAAATAAATCACATCCATCCAGACTGGTAGGAGGGACGCAGACGCGGAACAGGTGGCCTCTAACCCACATGTGGTGGATACAGATTCAGAAGGGATATCTCAGGAGTGGGGAGTGCAGCCCTACACCACGCCCCCCAGCCTAGGGCTCCAGTGCCAGGATGATAAGTCCCATACATTCTGGTTGCAAAAACCAGCAGAGATTGAGTTGGTGGAAGAAACTTCTGGAACCCCAAGCAGTTCCCCTTAAAAAATCCAC